ATAACAATCATGAAAGTAGTGAAGGAGAGAATATTACATAAATACATTAATACATTTACGTGCACATGAAGTTTGTGTAATATGCATGTACGAAAACAAAGGACCAAATAAATATAACTTAATTATACAAAAGAAAAGGTAATTTATGCAGATAATATAATTTATTTGTAGTCATGATTCAGACGAGATATACCAAAGCATGGAATTAGATAAGAGAACGGATCACAGTAATTTATGGGGTGCTGATGGTTGTGGTGAAAGGCGAGGTATGGCATTGGCTAAGTTTAAGTGCTTGTTTGGAGGGAGAACAAGCGCTTCTTTGGCTACCTATTTGGGTCCCTCAGAACTCCGATGGATCTAGGCTTTTCTCTTCGCGACGTCGCGATTCATGTGGTGGGGCTGTCTCTCTCACACAGTGGATGTTTGCCATTTCATTGACGGATTTCCATCCCTTACGTCTCTCTCGAAGGCCATCTTGTTACCCGAACGTCTTTTACACTACTCGAGAATTTTACTACAAATAGGAGGTAAGACGATGGTTGAGATTTGGCAAAATGTCGTTATATCCAGAATCATTAAATATGTTTAGGACATGCGACGACTATTTTTAACTGTTGTTTAATACTCACGTGAAACATTGCAAGATTCTAGAAAAAACACATTAGACGAAGGTTTTTACAACTAAACCATTGTTAAATGTGCAACTTTTAACGATGACTACTGTAAAAATTGTCATTAAATATACAAATTTTTATACAAATTTTTAATGAAGGTTTCGAAAAAACTGCCGTTAAATGTCCTTAAAAAATTTTAAAAATATTTTCGCGACAAACTAGTTTTTTGCTCAAACAATAATTTCTTCAAATTTTATTCACAAATTGTAAAAGTTTGATTCATATTCCACTAAAAAACACTCAAAAACATTTTTAAATAAACATGTTACAAATTCTTCATCTCATACATAATCAATATAAATAAAATAAAAATATTTCAAAAATCATAGACAAAGTTTTTCAACAAAATCGAACAGAAAAAAAATACTTAAATACAAAAAAAAAAAACTTAAATCCAAATAAAAGAACCTAATTTCAAAGAAAAGTACTTTAATTTTGGTGGTCAAGGTGTGGTGGGTGAATTTGGTGGCGAGGTTATGGCGGCTAAAGATGTAGGCATGGTGGCGGTTACGACTTGCGAGGATCATGAAGGCGGCTGGTCATGAGAGTGAGGAATGTCTATTAAAGGGAATGAGAACTGTAGAAAAGAAGAGATTTAGAGAAAAACTTTTAATTGTTAGAAAGGAGAATTAGAGAGAGTTATGGTGTGAGCATGTGAGAGAGGGAATTGAAAAGTGATGAGGGGATTTGGGAGGAGAAAAAAAAAACTTAAATCTTTATAAGTTATAAGAGAGAAAATTGCTCGAAGTTATAGAAGAGATAATCAAATTTTAAAAATTTTTACAACCCAACACACGTTTATCTCCATGTGTTTCATTTCAATATACTAGTGGAACCGATTAGTATTCGTGATTGAGTCGCCTTGTATTCATTTTTGTAAGTATTAGTAACTGTATTTTTATGAATTGCAATGCAATTTCCCTTATAAAACAACAACAACAAAAAAAAAGTTGGTACTTGAAAGGAAGTTGGAAGGGAAGAAAGTGAGGAGATTGATCTAGATGCTTCCATAGAGCTAGGACCGAAAAACAAAAAAGTTGGTACTTGAGAAAAAATCCTTAGCTATATATCGGCTGCCAACCACTAGCTATATGCTGCGATGATTTCATCTCTCATATAGCGGCCAATCCCAGTATTTTGTTTAAAGAATAGTAATGATGACACAAACCCAAAAAACTTTGACAAACAATTAATAATAAGGGTTTCGAGATGATAGCATTTTTGCAATTAATGTCATAATGTTATTCACCACTATCCCTCATTTGTTTTCCTCCATCAACTTATGGTTTTTGAGGTCCAGCTAGCAATATAATGATGACGAAAGGGAATAAACCCCATATATATTAATAAGAAAAAGATTAATAAATAAAACCATTTATAGGTTTTTGGGCAATATTGCTGATTCCCATGTGTTAGTACTGTATATTAGAGTTTGACGAGAGATAGAGTGAGGGAGAAGAATTGTATTTGAGTATCAATATTAAAATGTTAACTTATTTAAGTGGGGTGTCTCTATATTTTTATAATTATGGTTTTATTTATATTTAGACGATGTGAGACTCAAGTATTCTTACCTTTAACACGTCTCTGTAAGATGGTACTCTGTTAAGAGTCACCAATCTTGTATATTGATGAATCGACCTAACTCTTTTGAATAATAGTCTCTAATACCATATTAAATTTTAAGGAAATATGAGAAAAAAATGACGGAGAAGAAGTTATACTGAAGTTATATAGTTATTTCTGGTCATCATGACATGTATTTATTTATTTATTTATTTTTTAACTCAAAGCAAAACAAATTAATTACTAAGCAGCCAAAATGTGAAATATTGTTTTTGGCCAACTTTAATTTGGAGCTATATTTATGGTATTGGTTAGGTGTCTATACCCTTTTTCTAAAATGTTAATGGTCCAATAGAATAGTGCAAATTCCATCATTAGCCCTTCCTATGGAAAAGTTGAACTGAGGACTGGATGATTGGGAAGAATATCGTGACAGATTCATGATTGCATCTTGTTGGCTTCAGAAGTCGTTAATTGATTCCTAGATAAAAAGGTTTTTCCGGCAGCAACATGGCTTTGAGTATTTATATAGAAAAACAAAAAAACTTTTGATACTATGAATTGGGAATTCAATTTCATCATTCGTGAGTTGCTTTTGGATTCTGCAATATATATATATATATATTCACTTGGGTTCAAAATATTTTAACTTCTGCTAATCTATCTGTTCTGATCAATGGCACGCCAAAGGTTTATTTAAATACGGAAGAGGCTTGGTCAAGATGATGCCTTTTCTTCTTTTCTGTAATTCTGAGGATTTTCTCGATTGCTTTATAAAGAAAAAGAAAAATGTGCAATTTCTTTCCAAGTCTACTACACAAAGTCTGATGGTATCTAGATTCGTTCCCTGATTCGAATCATGGTTCGTTGTTCGTTACAGTATTTTCTCTCACAAAAAATACACGTAAATCAAAAATAGTTCTAATCACATGATTTGAATTCATGAACCAAATGCCAGTGTCCTGAACTTCGGATCGTCTTATTTTACTCTTCGAACATTAAGAGTTTTCACTGTATTATCTTAAACTTTGAATTTTTTCATTTTACCCCCTCCATTTCATTTTCTATCAAAACCAAAGAGAAAATAGCACGTGCACTCACATAGAGGGTTTAATTACAAGGGTAAAATTGCAATTGAGTTTTAGGTTATTCGCACTAATACCCCCTGAACTTCGGAGTCGCCTTTACTTTGTCCTCTAAACTTTATAGTCACCTCTAATTTGTCCTATGAACTTTAAAAGTTCCCACCACACTACTCCAAACTTTAAATTTCTCCCACTAAAATAATTAGTTTCACCATCTCTTTCTCAAATGTACCCATAATTAATGATTGTCAAGTTACAATATGCCCTATTTTGACAATGATTGTGTCAAATTAGTAAAATAAAAAAAAAGCACATTTGACAAAAAATTAACATCCCAATTTAATTATAGCACAAAATTTTCAATTACTTAGCTTTTAATCTCCTAAATTTGATAAAAAAAAGTTAAGCAAATTTAATAAAATGGGACACACTGTAACAATATTCATATATCCCTAATAATTTTCATGTATTTCTGAACTTTTAATCCTCTATAACTTTCATATATCCTTAATCGATTCTCTTTATTTTTTCTACACTTTTTAAAATCTTACCGGCATAACTAAAATTTTATCAAATGTCATAGTTTCTTAAAATTCAAAATAAATTCTCAATTCAGTCACTAGCCCCGGTTACGGGTTGTGACAAATTCTCTAGGTTATTTTCTTCCAATGCTGTCAATAATTGGCCATTTTCTTGGTACCCAACCCTATATATACACTAAGTGGACTTGAGTTAGTTCAGCAACGTTGGATTCCTCCTCAATTGGGTTTAGCTAAAGTCGATGTGGGAACGATGGTAAATGACCACATGGATGCCATTGGTGACGAGTGGTGACTAGAGATGATGACATACAACAATGTTATAGTGCATCGATGATACTGAACACTATTTATTGATAAAAGATGAGATCATAGGGAAGGCGCATTATTTATTTTTGATGGTGTTTAACATTAATGGTGTGTGTTCTTTGTGTTTTGTTAAAGCTGATCTCCGGTACGTATCGTAATGTTTAGCAATGAGATCAGTTGGTTTGGATTTTCGTTATTTTTTCGATTTTACTCCCAGAGACAAATGTTAATTGATAATATTAAAATGTGTATTACTCAAGTTAGAAGTGATTCTATTTGCTACATTCTATCTGTAAGGAATGGTGTAGCTAACCTCATATATAGCCAATTACGCTTGTTCAGTGTTGTTTGAGATTATGCTCCTTTATATATTATAACTTTAAATAGTTTCTAATTAATGACACTTTTCAAGTTGAATGAATTTCAGTTTCCCTAAAAAAATAAAAGAAAAGAAAAGAAAAAAAAGGAATTCTCACGCACTAATTCAAAAGCTTTCAGATGACACTCTCTTCTTTGAAAAAGAACCTATTTCACACTGTCTTGTCTTAAAAAAAAAAAAATTCTTATGATCAATTAAGGACAAGAGAACAAGTTCCTTTAAACAATTTTAGAGCTGGCGCCTCCTTTTGTTTCTGTTGGTGATGCTTTGCTAAAACACAAAGTTTCCCATTAAAATTCCTAACCCAACAAAGGAAGCAATCCCAGGAACAAATTAAGTTAAAATATTAATATATCAAGATTTTTTCTTTACCTTTTGATAAGAGACTGGTCTATATAAAAACCCCAGTACTAATAATGAGCATTAAATATGTAACTGAGAAAATTAAATTAACTTTCTTTCTTCCTCTGAACAAACTTTCTAGTTGATCAGTTCCCAAAATACTGCCGTGAATATGGATGGTTCTCGTTTCTCCTACACATACAGGAGACCAGCTTTTGGTCTAACTGGATTTGCCCACTTGTTTGGCATATTGGCAATCATTCTTATGCTTGTTTGGCTGCTTCATTATCGTGGGAATATTGACTATGATTCAGAAAATCCGGATTATGTCTTTAATGTGTGTGATTAATTTATTATAATTCTAATTACTTGCATGCCCATGTTGGAGCTTTCTATGAGAATTATTAATTCTAATGTGTCTTTTTTTTTTTTGGTGTGTTGCAGGTTCATCCAGTTCTTATGTTTGTTGGGTACATTTTCCTATCTGGTCAAGGTAATTGGCCTTCTTTGCATGATATGAACAAATACTATTTAGCACTACCATTAAGAATTTCATTGAGAGCTTGGATGATATTTGCTAAATAGTATTTGCATGAACAAATACTATTTAGCAAATACTATCTAGCAGGTTTGATAAATAACACGTGTGTTTGAATTCCTAATCATACGGCTCCCAAAGTACTTTTCCAAACGGTTACATTGTTTTCAAGTTCTTTTCTTGTGACGCATATATATATATATATATATATATATGACCCAAAAATTACATTTGATTGGAGATCAGCAATGATGGCCTACAAGACAGTACCAGCAGCAAGGGGAACAAGGAAGTTTATCCACATGCTATTGCATGTAATTGCTCTGATTATGGGGATCGTTGGGATATGTGCCGTTTTCAAGTATCATAACATGAAAAACATTGAGGACATGTATAGCTTGCATTCGTGGATTGGCTTGGGCACTTTCTGCTTGTATGTCCTGCAGGTAACTTTCAAGTACTGATATATGTCGAAAGAAGCTGCTGGACATTTTATTTTCTAGCAGTCGTTGAATGTTGAAAATAAACAATATCTGAGTCGTCACTGTTCGAATCACAATTCAAATTAATTTTTGCTATAGTGTTTAATCTCTCTCATAAAAATTCAAATCCAAACTTTTCTGCTATAGTCTTTTCTCTCACATGAATTTACTTTTTAATTCAAATTATCAACTCAAATTAGTGAAACGAACGGGACTAAAATATTTTTAATTATGTTTATTTCATAGAAAACTTCAGATATACCCTTATAATTTGGTAAGCTAGATTTTAGTCAAACTCTAAATTTGGTAAGAAAATACGAATGTGTATGACTAACAAAAAGTCATAGCTGGTATTTCTGAATATTTGATCTAATTAAAAGCGCATTAAAATAGCAAAAGTAAGGCAAAAAGAACCGTTTCTAATAAAGATTTGATAGTTAAAAACATAATCCTATCGATAAACTATTTTTTCATAACTTACTACAGAATTCTCCGAAGTTGTTATGGAAATCGAAATCCACTAGTACTATTCAAAATCATAACATCGTATAAACGATATGTGATCTCCTTGAAGCTAAGTTAGGTTTGTGTTTGGCAGTGGTTACTAGGGTTTGTGGTGTTCATGCTTAATGGAGCTTCAGCGGACGCAAAGTTTTCAATGCTTGGATGGCACATGGCTGGGGGTAGAGCACTTCTGTTCATGTCCATCTGCGCAGCCCTTACGGGCCTAATGGAGAAGGCCCATTTTCTTGGGCTTAGGCATCAAACTGAAGCCCGTTTGGTTAACTTCACTGGTCTATCAATCCTTCTCTTTGGGGTTTTCGTTGATTTTACTGTTGTTCTTGGCCGTTGCGTCTATGTCAAGCAATATCCTTGATTCTTTGATATCCAATATGTATCTGAATCCTTACTTTATATATTACATTTTTTTTCCCTTTAATTATTTTCTAATGTCCATGAGTTGATTGCATATACCCGGTGGGATTTTGTGTGTAAAATTCAACTTGTAATTTTCAGCCTAGAAGGGCTCGGCGTGATTGTTGTATTGAATATTTATAAGAACGTGTGTTTTAAAGGGAAATGGGTTCATATGCCCTATTTTTTCCTGTCTCCGCTTAGTATTAATTGTTAGAATATTAAAAAGTAATAATATAAAAAAGGTATTATTATTCTGAGGCTCGAATATTGAGTTTATAACATGATAAAGTACAGAAGTTTTATCACTATTTTTTTTAATCATTCTTCATTTCAATTTAAGTATATGCACCTCATTATAGTCTCTTGGGTTATTTTTCACCTCCTGGACTATTTTTTTTTTCTTTTTCTTTTTTATACTGAATACACCTCCTGTACTCTTTAATTTAACATGATATCAACGTGTGTGTGTGTGTGTGTGTGTGTATATATATGAGGCATTAAACTTAAATATATCATGTGCTCTAGAGTTAATAGAAAGTATACCGTTTATTTTCATATCGTCAACTATATACTAAAAATTTTGAGCATGTATTAAGTTAATACCTAAAGGGGTTAGAACAAAATAAAATAAAATAAAAGGCAAAAAGAAATTAAAAAGTTAAAAACTAATTAGAACCCCACCCCTTTTGTTTTTGTTTTTGTTTTTTTTTGTTTTTGTTTTATTGAGGTTCTTATATTATTTTGGACATTTATTTTGGTTTTCTCTTTTCCTTTTCTCTTCGGGGACACGCATTTTTCGTCACTGTCTTGGTCAAAGTTAAGCATTGACAAATGCAAGAGCTTAATTTGATCCGTGTTAGACATATCTTGATATAAAATTGATAAATTAAAACAAATAGATGATATATTTTCTAATTAAATCGAAAATACAAGTAATTGTTATGTAAATATTTTCGACATAAAAAGAACATATCCACATTTTGTTTCTGTTTATATATACTCATATATAAACAAAAACGTTTGCGATGGTTACATTTTTATTAGTGGTTACCATCAAATATAAAAATTTAATTACGTGATGGGATAAGAATTTAATGTCATTAATTGTCATAAATTTTTTAATAAATTATCTAATTTATTATAACTGTCATATTAATATCTTATAACTAAAAGGATAACTATTAAAACTACACCCATATATTTGACTTTGTTGAGCATGTTGTGCTAACTATTATGGTGTCATAGACAAAGATTTAATATCTTTACAAAAGACCGATATAGAAGTGAAAGCGTGACATAATTTTTTTTTTGTCCATGTGATATATAACTTTAGAGAGATATAACAACAAATAATTTATCTATCACATATCAAATTAGTATTACATATAACTTCAAAAAATTATAACAACAAAAAATTTATCTATCATCATTTTAAAATTAGTATTGAAGATAATAAATGTCATGTTATATTTATGCTTTTACATGTTATAATATAGAATTGGGCCAGATCTTATATATAAGTGAGTTTACTAGCGTGAAATAAAATTTCCTTTGTCCAAGAAAATGATTCTTAGGGGATTTGTCCATTAGAAAAAGTTCAAACTCATATTCTTCTGATTTAAATCCTTTTTCCTACATTATTTTATCTTAAAAAATTCAAATTAAAGAAATTGAAGTTGAACCAAAAAGTTCTCTTCAAACCCTTTATACTTTTTTGTTGACTTGAACTGCGACCTGTTTGGGTAGTCCTCTGATCTGGCAGCTTATTCTTTTTTTCTTTGGCACGAAAGCTTCCATCTCTCCTTCATTAAAAAAAAAAAAAAAAAGCTTCCATCTTTTTTGGTTATTTTATTACCTTTTAGAAGCTAACTTCAAACTTGATATTGGTTCTTTTGAAAGAGTATGAGAATTTTGTTTAATATATAAAAAGAAAATATGTAGAGGGTCGATTTAAGTTTTAAAGGGCCTTCAACATTTTTTTTTTTCAAAACGTTATGGAATCGGTTAAGTTACAACTATAATATAATTACGTACGTACATGCATGTTAAACAACCTTTAAATTTTGGATAAATTAATTTCAATAAAAGTTAGAGCTCTCTCGTTTGTAATATGAAACTTCTTTTTTTTTTTTTTTTTTTCCCCCCTTTATGGAAGAAGGATAGACTCATTCCACAATATATTTTTTGGATAAGTGTAAAGTCTTCCCTCAACCTTATTTATTCTCTTTTTTTATTATTGCACATTGTATCAAAACTAAAGGATTAATTAATAAAGTAATTAGTCAAGGAGTAAAGCTGTAAATTGAGATTTATAAGGAGTAAAGCTGTAAATTGAGATTTATAAAGAGAAAATAAGCAATTGGTTTTGTTAAAGGTGAATGGTCAAGAAAGTAATTATTTCAAATATTTTCTTTAATTCAAATTAGATTTTTAAAATATTGGCTGAAGACACTAAACCAAAGTTTGTTGTATAAACTCCTAAAAAAATATATATTTATATAGCCTAACTACAACTGGATTCAGTAATAAACTCATAACTTAAGCACAGGAATAGAATTAACAAATATTTATTGTTCACCATTCAGCCTAGTACGTCTGTTTCCTTCGAATATGGTCTAGTTTCGTGCTTTTTATAAAAACTATTTTGCATGCGAACTTAATTATCATTTTGGTGGCATGAAGAGATTGCTTCCATGACTTATTTACTTAATTACAGACCATTTCCAAAACACACACACAGATATATATATATATACTGTTGGTATTATGTCAAGGCAAAAGTTGCCATAATTTACCCATTTCCCAGGTTCTTTCTCGTCTCTAACTTTCACGCTTTTTCATTCTCGATCAATTATATTTTTTTCTACATTAAACTCTTTTATTACTAGTGAATGTATCCACAAATTATTGGCGTGATTCGCGATTCTGTCGTTTGAATTTCATGTGTTATAATATTTACTTTAAATTTTTAGCCCTGTAACCTTTTCGGCCGTATAAGGATTTTATTTGTACTATATGTCATCAATTAGTTTAATAGGATTCAAATCATATTATGTCACATCGTTTATAAACTTAAATATTAAGACATGAAAAAAAGAATTCAAATTTTTTTGTATGATGTGGCATAATATAATTGCTTAACACCATTATGGAACATCAAATTAAATAGATAATTTAAATCCTTACTCAATATACAAATTTTACATGTAAATTGTAGGCTCTACATAGTATTATTTGATTATATTTTTCTATCATAATCAAAACACTTGATATTAAAGTCGGTCCTACATGTGATATTCAAAAACAAAGGAGGTCTCTTTTTGAAGTCATTATTAAATAGAGTAAATGTCATAATATACCACTATTACTGTATTACTCTTAGGATAATATATGATGATATGTCCTAACGAAAGAAGCAAGACAAACCCCCATGCATATACAAATATTATAATGAATGGTGATTTATAAGTGCTCAGATCACATAGGTAGGAGAGAATAGTGCAAAATGGCATTAACAACGGCAGTGACAGCAAAGCCTGTTTCAATTTTTGCTCATTTGTTGGGCATAATCGTGATAATCCTTTTGCTTGTTTGGGCATAACCGACAAAAACTGACATTGTCAGTTCGGTTTTGAAACCGATCAAAATTGTCGGTTAAAAACTGATGAACACCCCTACAACAATTTGAGGGAGGCCTCACCTTCACATATGATGATAAAAAGCAGAAGATTCTCAATGTAACCAAAACTTTTTAAGCAATTTTGCCATGTTCTTTTGCGTTTTTTGTTCCCAATATTTCTCTTTTGCTTTTGACATTATACATAGATCTCATCTGGGAATTATAGTGAACAACATATTTATGAAATTAAATTAAGTAAATATCATATTTAAATTTATTTAAAATAAATAGCAGTTTACCGTGTAAATATTTCTTTTACGATTAGTAAAAAATAATTTACATGATAAAAAAATTTATTAGTCGTAAAAAAAAATTTACATGGAAAAAAAATCTTTTTACCAATTATAAATGAAACATTTACACGATAAATTATTATTTATTTTAAATAAATTTAAAATATGTTATTTATGTAATTTAATTTTATAAATATGTTATTTACTACATTTGCCCGATTGATCACTACCTTCTAATTTACAAGATTACTTTTCCTTTCATTAATCGCAGCTGTATGCACTTTTCATGGTACTTGGGCCTGTTTTAGCTGCTGGAGAAGGTAAGCCAGTGCCTTCATTAAAAAAAAAAAAATAGTATGACATTACATAATTACCAGCATAAATTTATCGTTGGACTATATTAACAATCACTAATCGTTCCAGCTTATATAAACATATATAGTTTTTTTTTTTTTTTTTTTGTTCTTTTCCTACTATCATCCTTGCATATTCATTAATTGCATGTGGCTTCTTTTCATTTTTGCTGTGTGTAGTGTCCGTAAAAAAGAAAAAAGGAAAATCTAGTGCTTTTCACTTTTTAACTCATATGCCTACGCAATACTTATTGGCTGTGTTTGGAATTAATCCCATTTTTGTTTTTCATATTTTTTGAGAAAGAAAAAATGAAAAACGTTTCCAAAACGGCATTTGGCGCAATAAAGACAAAAAACAGAAATGAAAATGATTTTTTGGTTTAGTGTAAAATGAGAGAAATGAAAAATGACTTTTAGTCGTTTTTCATTTTTTATTTTCATTTTTTCTCTCTAGCAGAGAGAAAGAGAGAGAGAGAGAGAGACATTAATGAGTTTTTTTTATACTGAAAATAATCTATTGATAAAATTACCAAACACGTTTTTAAAAATGATTTATGTTTAAGATTAAAAACGTGTTCATTTTCATATAAAAAATAAAATCATTTTGGAATGAGTTCTAAATGCGCACATTATGACGCATGTTTATTTGTTCGGTTGGATAGTGTGTTGTGCACTTTTGTGAGACTAGTGACTATGTTTGTGTCTATGCATTAATCGTTTCTTCTGGTAGAAGCAAACGTATAAAAACCATCCGGTTATCTAGGTTATACTAGCTGATTATTAGGGCAAAAATGTATTAAAAAAAAACACTAGAAAAACCAACCGAAACCGCCGGACGAATTTTTGTTGGCGATCGGTCGGTCCTTCTCTCCGCCTTGATTGAGCTGAGTAAGGTCGATTGACTAAAACTAACTGATGGTCAGCCTAGAGTTGAGCCTATCTTGACTACAAGGCGATAATTTTTCATATTTCATTGCTTAAAATTAAATTTATGAAGAAAACTCTGAAATATTATACGGAGATTTTTTGTATTATTCATAGGCCTACTGATGCAATTCGACATACTTTCATTGTTCATCTCAATTGACTGCTTAACTTATTACTTTCTAATTAAGTTATTTCCAATATCCTGAGATTGTAATAATAGCTTGTTTAGGGGTTCACTTATGCAGCTATTATGGTATGCCAGACTGTGAAAGCTAGAAGAAGGTCCCAAAAAATAGTGCACTTAACATTTCACTTCATAGGTCTTGTTTTTGGAATTTTGGGGATTTATGTAATTTTCAAGTTTCACAATGAAATTGGGCTATGGAACATGTTTACTTTACATTCCTGGCTGGGCATTATCACTATCTGTTCATTTGGTTTGCAGGTAATTATTAAACTTTATGTGGTTTTAGGTACATAATATATCTAGATCTTTTTTTCCCTATACCAACACGTGTACTGTCAAGTAAGCTGTCATATTTTATCGGTGTTGCAACATGACAAATTTTTAAACCATACCAAGAAAATATTGACAACTTCACATGACATATTAATTGGTATTAAAAGATTAACAAATCATAAAGTTAACGTGAAAAACATTATTAATTTGAAAAACTATGAGGTTATGGTGAGAACAAGGTTACGATGTTCGTTGGGGTGTTGACCGGCCAAACAAACCATGAGGGAAAAAAGTCATTTATTTATTTATTGGGAATTTATCTAGTATCTATTGTACATACTTTTAATTTAATGTGATTTTGACCAAATCCGATGTTCAAAATCTAAAGCCTATAAAAGAAGTCTTAAATAAAAATGATCCTAATGGCTGCACTACTTCATTTTTAGTAACGGAGTCACATATTTGATTTGTGATTCATGCTCACTTTATTTACCTGAGTTCTTCCCCACATATTTTATCAAATCTAAATATATTGAGATATGTAAATAATTTACCTGTTGATATTGGCGTCAGCTCATGTAGTTAACATAAATCATATTAGAATCACAAAAGCATGCAAAAATGGAATTTTATAGAAATTGGATAGCACTAGATAATACCCGCGATTTTTTAGTTTATCTCATTATAGAATTTTCAATGCGAGATCTGAAGCTATATATAAAAATATATAAAGAAAAAAAAACACTAACTTAAAATCTTACGTAATAACCAAGTATAGGAAATTCCATTTGGAAAATTGCTCTAATGTTAGGTATGTAGAATTTAAATATGGCTTGTATAAGAAAGAATGTTAACGTGATATATAAAAGCCGTTTCAATCAAGAGTAGTACTCTTTTTATTGTAAGTTTTATTTTACTTTTTTACCTTATTATATATATCATCTTTCTTATGGTCATAATTAATCATGGATATTGAGTGCAATATAATCAAAATCACCATATCCTTTGACATTTTCTTCTTTTTGTGTTGTTATAATTTTCAGTGGCTGCTTGGTTTGTTTACATCTTTGTTCCCGGGAGCAGAGAAGACAGCCAAGGCAACATTGATGCCGTGGCACATATATGCTGGAATGGTCATCTTTGTCTTAGCAGTATGCTCAACTGAGATGGGTTTGGCTCAAGCATTCATCTTCTTAGGCTTAGGGCGTAGCCAAGAAGCTCTTATCGTTAACTTCACCGGTCTCTTTATCTTCCTCTTCGCGGCTTCTGTTGGCCTTACCGTCTTTCTTCCTAGAGGCGATTAGCGATTTTTTGACCTCTTCATAGAGTGTTCATACCTTAACAAGTACTCCATTTACATTATTTGGTTAACTTTGTGACCATATGTTTTGATGATTTTTCACCATTTAAGTGGAGACACTACTTTAAATAAATAAACTATTAGAAGTTTGTCCATGTTTGTACTTTGCATTGTTCTGAAATGTACTATACTCGGATTTATTTCATTTTTATTTCTTTAATTTCATGTTGAAACAATTAAAGCTGTTATAAATTTGTAAAATACACACTTCAACTTTCATGAATCTTGAGATCAGTTTACAAAAGGTTGTAGATTAGAAGACTACAAGTATCCCTTTTAATTAGGCCTTGCAAAGCAAAAAGTAATTAAAAAACTGAACTAGACTAAATACAAGTTTATTAAATTAGAAGGGCATCTTAGTTCTTAGTACCACCATCCATATTATTCCAAAAAAAAAAATTGTTTCAAGTTATGTAGCTGCTTTCCTCGTATTTATACATAAGTTAATTAACAACTAATTAATCATCACAAATGACTTTGTTTTCATCTTCCGTGAGAGAACATTGCATAGGCCAGATTAACCAAGATTGAAAAGACAAACCAATAAAACTTATCCTTGTACAATTAACGGACAAATCCACCTTTAACTCTGTTGCCGGCCAGACGGTCTTCATATATAACTTCCAAACTAATCCATATTTGTTTGCCTTTGTCAATCCTCTATATATGGACAACTACAATGTTGACCGTGCGGCAATTTCTGGAGGAACTGAAGTAGACAATGTTTTGTAGCACTTTAAGTATAAATGGGCCAATGAAGAATTAAGCGTTGCTCTTTACAAGCTAATTGTGTAGCACAAGAAAAGAAACACGAAATTAACAAAGACAGATTGGAAGTGCGATAGACATGGCGCCTAGCGGTCGAAGCTACCAAATTTCGGCGACGCCTGCGGCGATTTTAGCACATTTGATAGCCATAGCAGTGACGACCCTAGTGTTGGTTTGGCTCCTGCACTTCCAAGACGGCTTCGCTTTCAAGTCCTTAAACAAACTGAAGATTTTCAACGTATGTATTGTCATCAATAAGTTGTTTGAAATCTCAATCCTAATTTTTTAATATTGTTGTTCTTTCAAGTTTAGCATTAATTTTTATCATGATTTGCGTTGCAGTTACATCCTTTTCTAATGATAGTTGGGCTTATAATTATGGGAGGTGAAGGTACATAATCAAATTGGTCACTATAAAAAGTTTAAGACCTTATTCATTTCACTAATTTGAGTTTAGAATTTAAGTTTTGCTATAGTAAAATGCTCTAAAAAACAGTCACATTTAACTTTTTTATTATATTAAAAATCTATCACATAAAATAACATCTTAACTCGAATCAACGAACTAAACGAAAAGTTCTTTGAAGAAAGATTGTTAAACGTTTAGCCACGGCACTGCCAAAACCTTCTAGCCATCATATGCGTAAAATCATCCCATCGTAAATGTCAATACTATATATTTGACACTAAAAAAAAGTGTGAAGTTGACATTTTTATGTGCTGTTTTATTTTTTGCTCTCTAATCGATGCATGATAATACTATAGTTATATTTCGTCAGCTTTCAAACTAGTAAAGAAAATTTTTTATTTTAAAATAATTTAAAAATGTTAATTTTGTAGTGATTAAATGAAAGAGTCATTATTTTAATTAATAGTAATCGAATGCTAAAATTTAATATATATTTTACTACCGACTATAACATATATATTAATTTTAATATAAAAATAACACGACAGTAAAAAGTGATTTTTTTACTCAAATATTGTAATTTAGTATTGCCACACTAATTTGACATTATATTAAAGATGCTCCAAGAGAAGACTAAGGTTCCGTTCATTTTATCGATTCGAGTTTAAAATTTGAGCTTTATTACAGTAAAAAACTCTAAGAAATAATCACATCAAATTTTTTTATACAGTAAAAAGCTTTCACATAAAGTCATATCTCAACTTGAATCAACGAGCTAAACGGACCCTTATTTTGGTGTTAAATTTGGAGCAGCAATGATGGCATACAAAACAGTGCCTGGAACAAGGAGAGCACAAAAAGGAGTCCACGTGATATTGCATCAACTAGCTCTGCTCGCTGGTGTTTTAGGCACATATGTAATTTTCAAATTTAAACATGAAGATGGCACCACCAAAGATTTTGTCACCTTACATACCTGGCTGGGCATTATCACCATATCTGCATATGGTTTGCAGGTATATATGTGCTTTTATTTATATTTTTGACTTATTTGTGCCCTTTTATTGTCTAAACTTTCATAGTTTAAATCATGACTCAAATTTTATTAATACAGTGTTTTCTCTCACAAAATTTAAAATTGACTTTTTTACTATTTTTCTCTCACATACACAACTGAAGTTCTCAACTCAATGAAAAGAACAATCCCCTAATTTATTTGTATTTGGTACTGTGCTTCTTAAGAAAAAAAAAGCAATTAATTGTCAATCGAGTCATTTTGGAAGAGGGATGTTTTTATCAATTAGACTAATATTGGAAATGAGAGTAATTGATTAGGTTTTATTCAAACAAACTTTATCAAATTATTATTCATTTATGTATTTACCAACAAAAAAAAAATACTTAGCAAACAAAATAAATAGTTAATTAGAAAGCAAGAAATAAAAATCAAATAAACTAAGTGTAATGTTCTCTTTTACTGCAATTCTTAGTAGACGTTTGAATCATAGATTTAGAACTATTCTCGTTTTATGTATGTTTTTTATGAGAAAAAAAATACTGTAAAGAACTATGAATCATGATTCAAAATCAGGGACGAATACATAAAACAAACATCCATTTAGTTTCTTTTCCGTTTTAACCATTATTATGAATTTTCTTTCAGTTTTTGCTCAGTTTCTTTACCTTTTTATTCCCGGAAGCCGCAGCGCCAAGAAAAGCAACGATTTTACCATGGCACGTATTTTTCGGCATGGCGATATTTCTGTTAGCAATAGGCACTGCCGAGACGGGACTTGTTCAAAAATCGATTGCCTTGAAATTGAACTTGAAGATTAGCCAAGAAGGACTCATAGTGAACTTCATTGGGCTGTTGATTTCTCTATTTGGTGTGAGTGTTGGCCTCAGTGTAATCCTTCCAAGACGGGGCTATTATTAGTGTTCAAAGCGTCTCCATGAGTTTATCAAACATAGACAAGTACTCAATTTGTTTTCAATTTTTTATCTATTTTAAGTAGAGATTGTAGCCTTGCTCAGTTATTTTTGAGCACTCTGGTTGCGTGAAAAGTTATTTATTTATTTATTATTATTATTATTAAAAAGAAGGATTCCAACAATTCTGTCGAGTGTGTGCATTTTTTTCTTTTTTTTTTTCGGGTGAAAAAGTTGACATATTGCAATGCAATTTGAATGTAAAATTTGACATTTTTGAAATGCAATTTGACCGTCGTGTTTGGAATTGTTATTGTTTTTATTTTTCACATTTTTTTAGAATAAAAAAATAAAAACGATTCTAAAACAGCGTTTGACACAATTAAAGACAAAAAAAAAAAGAAATGAAAACGATTTTTTGGTTTAGTATAAAATGTGAAAGAAATGAAAAACGACTTTTAGTCGTTTTTCATTTTTTGTTTTCATTTTCTTCTCTCTTGAGCAGATAGAGAGAGACATTAATGAGTTTTTTATATTGAAAATAATCTCTTGATAAAACTATCAAACGCATTTTAAAAAATGATTTCTGTCTAATATTGAAAACGTTTTCATTTCTATTTTTATATAAAAAATAAAATTATTTTCGAATGAGTTCCAACCGCACATTCTTTTTCATGGATGCCGGATGGTGGTAGCTAATATAATAATTAACTCACTCAAACCCACCAAAACAATACGTTGTGCTGACCGGTGAAACTATAAGAGCAAGGGGAGTCACTTTCACTTTGGGTCAATATAAGAACAATGCGGTATGACTTTGCACTACCCCTAATAAAATGTGAGACTTGTAGTGTGTGGCCTATAAATGAGCCTTATCTTTTATTAGAGGGTGTTTAATATGAGGATTCGTATCATGATTTGAATCATAATTCATAATTCACTACAGTATTTTCTCTTATAAAAAATACACATAAACTGAGAATAATTAAGAACAATGCGGTATGACTTTGCACTACCCCTAATAAAATGTGAGACTTGTAGTGTGTGGCCTATAAATGAGCCTTATCTTTTATTAGAGGGTGTTTGATATGAGGATTCGTATCATGATTTGAATCATAATTTGTGATTCACTACAGTATTTTCTCTTATAAAAAATACACATAAACCGAGAATAATTATGAATCATGATTCTAAATTCGTGAACTAAACGTCCACATAGTAATGGTATTTAATACATTAGTGTTCTTAAGCATTTTTCTTAATATAATAATATGATAGATGATGGGAAAAAATGTTGGTACATACCTGTGCGATAAGTCAATATTTAATTCTAGTGGGGCATAAATATAAAAGAAAAAATTTACAGTTAAGCTTTTGCGCATTTTTGCCGTTTATTCAATATTTTTTCTCTGAACTTAAGTGACTTGTGTAATTTTATTCTCAACTTTCAAAATGTACAACAATGTCCCTTCAACCTTTGTTCAATTGTTCCTATAGCAAGTAATCTCCTTCTGTCCAATTCGGTTCGATGCTTAACAAATCAATATTGTTTAATATTAATAAAGTTTTCTGCAATAACCTCTTCAAACCCAAACACACAGAAAAAAAAAACACACACACACACACACACAAATTTTAAGGAAAACGAGACAAAAAAAAATACACATTTTAAGGAAGACGAGAAAAAAAAATCCCACATAATCGCTTAAGACAATGGAGCTCCTGAAATTAAAAAAAATTAAAAAAAAACTATTTTTTAAAGAAATTTTATGGGGTTTTTGTTTTTTGCAATTATTTTTTTCTTGCTCCAAAAGTGGGTCAATGTCGGGTGAATCCGCTAACCCAGACTTGACCCGCTGTTTACGGCTAATAGTTTGAAACCCTCTCCGCCCTCTCTTCTTTTGGCCTCCTCGCCGCCTCTCTCTCTTTCTCCCTCTCGCTCTCCGACGATCTCTCTCCTCTCTCCTCTCTCCTCTCTCCTTCGAACTCCAGCCACCATCAAGCGGCGGCGCCCAATTTCCGCCCCCAAGGTCAGTTTTAGACAAAAAGAACGACGGAGACTTTTTTGAATAATATTGTGTGCCAAATTTTGGGTGTTACAAATTTACAATATATATATATTTATATGGATACTTTGTTGTTAATCGTAGAATGATAGGGCATGTCAAATTGTTCCCCTTTTTCTTTCGTTTTGATTTTGTTGGCAAAAATGATCAACCTGATGTTGTTGTATGGAAATCAAGTATGGTGGCTTCTCTTTGTTGTATATCTGTTGGGGCAAAACGAAAGCTTAGACAAGTTTATGCCGTGAGTGTAGATAAAGTAATCGTGTTTTGAGATTATTGAAAATGACGTTTTCTACTTATTGTTTGTACTATTAGTTTGTTCTGTAACTTGCCTATGATTTGCTAAATGTTGGAATGTAATTGTATTGTGTCGGTTTGAGATACAAGGGATAGGTCTTATGTACATTCCAAATGGATTGAATTCCATGAATATGTTTTGCAACAGGCCATTTGAACCCAAAAATAAAAGGTTTACGGGGGAAAAAAGGAAACAAGAACAAAAACTCCACAAAATCCCTTAAAAAAATAGATATCCTGGAATTTTCAAAGGAAAAAAAAAAGGGAAGTGGCATTGATTTGTCAAGCCCAACAGAATTGGATAGAAGGGGGTTACTTGCTAAGGGAACAAAGTTTGAGGAGACAGAGTAGCGCATGAAGGGTTCGTTCGGTTCACGCGTTCAAGTCAGTGATTCTGGTTCATTGGCGGGCGCTTTCTGAGAGAAGAAATTTTTGAATTCAAATTCTCTGTGAGATGAAAAACACTGTAGCAAAATCAGAATCAAGGGTTTGAATACATCTCCTAAACACCCTCAAAGTGATTGACAACCTGCACTATTGTGGGATGGTATTGTCAACTCAAGAGAGACGACCCGCACTATCGTGACATGTTGACCTTGAGTTAGATGTGATTAAGTGAGTTTAGTTGGTTGATGTCTTCAATAAGCTTTAGCTATGGCCCCAGGATTAGAGAATGATTTCAGTAAAACAAAAATAGTCACGGCTAGAATTTAAAAAATAACTGATATTTCCAGTCCTAAATCTCCAATTTGGTTGTCTTTGGTCAATACTCGACTTTTATGAAATCTCCAAGATTCTGAAATGGGGAGATTCTGAAATGTTAGTTGGGTTGATATTTACTCATTTAGAATTTGCTTATTTACACATATACTCGACTTGTTACAGGACCTTAAACTCTAAAAGCTAAAAATGAAGACATTCTCAGGGACTGTCATCTCCTCAAAGCCAATTCCGCTCTCCAAAGCTACCTCTGTTCTGTCCACATTCGTCTCCACCGAGAATGGTGCTTCCCAAGCTATTGCTGCGTACCTTCGTCGCACCTTGGCATCATTTAAGGAGTTAAAACAGCTTCACAAGGAGCTTAAGACTGATCGATCAGAACACAAGCGGAAAAGACGCAGATCAGAGATTGCTGACGATGGAGAGACAAACGTAGTAGAAAATGCCACTGTAATTGTAGAGGCAAGTCAAGAACTGCACCTGGAATCACTAGAGCCGAAGCGCAAAAAACACCGGAGGTAAATTAGTCGTTTGATCGGTTGTTCATCGCGTAAGAATCTCTAGCAGTTTTCCATTTCAGCTAGACATAATGGATGCTTACAATGTTTATCGGAAGAACAACGAGTATATTGCTGAATTTTGGATTTCTCACTTGTAGTTTTTGCCCAATTCTCCTGTTTATGTTCAACTCAGAAGTTATCTTAAATTAGGTGCACATCTTCATGCCATATCTGTATTGCCATAGTCATTGTTAAGATTGAAATATGATTGTAGTGGCATTATTATCATTTCTTTCAAGAGCAAGCAATGTTCATCTTACTTATCAAGGGTCCTCATACTTGATTTTAATTTGGCGTCTTTTTCCATTTGTAAGCAGCAAATCTAAATATTTTCTACTATTCTCAAGCACACTAGTGTTCCATTGAAAAATAATTCTCCAGTCACAAATGTACGGTTTGTTGTAATAGTTCCTTTTTTTTTTTTTTTTTTAAATCCCATTATGGAAGAAACAAAGCTAAAACATGGCAAGACAATAGAGGGAGCTAACTTTTCAGTGTTTCTCTTTACAATTAGCCATAAAAGACCAGTCCAAAAGAAAGAAGCAAACCATTACAAGGCCTTTATGTTATGGTATCTAATTTAAGTTAGGTAATTGTTAGTTTGTCTAGTTTAATTTTCCACATGTATAATCAACTTGTACTACTCAGTCAGCTTAGTAACATTTCTCTACTCTGAAGCTATTTAAGATAACTTTGTAATAGCATTTCCTTAACGAGGCTTCACGAGTTTTCTTATAGCATGTTCATTTGCACAACTCAAGTCATGATTTGAGTTGTGTATGTAAAAGAAAAATACTATAGTAGAAAGTTAAATTTAAATTTTTATAAGAAAATATACTGTAACAATATGACTTGAGTCATGAAATGAACAAGGCTTTAATCTTTTTGTTGTCTTTGATAGCCTTTGTAATTCTTTTGTTCCTCTTACTCTCTATGGGAGTGATCAGCTGGTCAATGGTTAATGCTCAACACTACTGGTTGCGGTTGGTGCCTCAGGGACGGATTTTGGATTTACAACATCTTGAACTAAAACTTTTTTTTTATTGTAAGGATATAAATTTTGATATCGCTGAGTAATAAATTATATTTATTATTTTTTATGTGCTGTGTGACACTTGTCTTGAACCAAGGATTCGTTTAAAATGTTCTAGGACTAGCAATTTTTTTAGAATAATCCTACATAATTGTTCTACATTGAAAATGGTGAATATTCATAGTAATTAATCAACAAACACAGGTTTGTATACCTTAATGTGCTAGTTGTTGGCTATTGAAGCTAATAAATCTTTTGTTAGCAAGCAAAATTTTTTATAACAATTAATAAGAATAAAAGTGGAGACACATGAGGAAAATAGGTTTTTTTCATGGATACCTCCTTAACTTTACGAGTTTGGAAAATTGGTTCCTTAATTTTTTTTTTCTTAGCAATTCATTCCTTAAGCTTTGAAATTTATTACATTGTTGGTCAAATTGAAAACGAAGTTAAAAATGTTGACGGTATCTTTTACATGAGTATTTAATAAGGATAATTCTGGTCTTTTTGCATCAAATTGAACCATTTATACATATTGTGAATGAAAAAAATTTTGAAATTGGGGGACCCCAATTTTTCTCCCAAAACAGTTAACTCCTAATTTCAAAAAAAAATTTCGCTCGTGACGCATACATGAGGATCAATTCGATGTAAAAAGATGTCAATTACTCTTATTATTAAACACTCACCTGGAAGATAACATCTAAATTTTTAAATTTATTTTTAATTTGATTAACATTACAATAAATTTTAAAGTTTAAGGGATGAATTGCCAATAAAAAAAGTTAAAAGACTAAATTGTCAAATCTGCAAAGTTGAAAGGGTATCCATACAAAATAGCTAGGAAAATATAAATAAGAAATGGCAAATTGAAAGATGATAATATATTTAATAAAATTAAGAAAAAGTTCCCCCACAGTCTATATGTTATGATATATAAATAAAGTTACAAACTTGTATTCCAAAATAAGCATACTAATTCCTTAATAGAATAGAATATTTCTATCATTTAAAAAAAAAAAACACTCAAAAAGTACCAAAATGTTGTCTGTGCCCATCGAAAAAGAGAAGTATCAAATCATATCTACTTTAAAATACAACCAAGTTTTTTTGGGTACACCATCCTTTATTCCTATCACTATTTTGTTCTAAAGAGAAGAAAAAGATAATTATAAAAAAAAAAAGAGTAGAAAAAGATATCAATTGTTAACAAACTGATATTTGTCTTTGTTGCACGAAGTGGTTCTATGATTGAAGATTGTTTTGAAGACACGTTTGGTTTGATTGAATAACTATTGAAATGGAGTTACAGGATTATGCAATAATCCTCCTTATATTCAGTAAAGTAAAAAGATTTGAATAAGGTTAAAGACACCACTTTAAATTTTAATTTTTATATACTAATTGATGTAGTATGTAAGTTGTCATTTTTATATTAATAGGTATTTAAAACATTATCACGTCAATGAATGATAAGAGTTTGCATATATTAATAAAAAAATAGATAATTCACGTGTCACATCAATTAATACACAAAAATTAAAATTTGAATAAGTCTGCCTAACATCACTAAAAAAAGATTTTACTAATAACTATTCCTATTCCACCCAAATATTTGAAATACATATTGATAATCATTATATTCTACAACTAATATAAACTAGAATTCTTTTTACCCAACACTACTGCACTCAATATCTTAATAATTACCGTAAATTAATCTTTTTTTTTCAAGCCTAAATTAATGATAATTTTACAAATGACTGACTATAAAGTGTAGAATTTGAATCCTTCCGCTCCCATATTTATTATAATAATAACAATAAATTGCTCTCCTTCCAATAAAAAAACAATATAAAGATGAAACTCAGGGTTTTTTTTCTAAAATAATTATTAATCTATTTCATTCGAATATCTAACTGATCATCACACTTGTAACTTCAGTGTTAACTCCAACGCTGAACTAATAATAATTGATTCTATTATCACTGAAATGGCTTTTTTGGGAGAGAGAGCAGAGAAGAAGGAGAACAGTACAATCGGCTACCTGAAACGAATCTTCAATTAATTGGTCTTTAAAATACACTCATGCGCATTATGTTGATGGATTTATGTGACGGTGGAGTCTGTGTTGGTGTTTTTTTTTCTCTTTCTTTAGTCGTATGTGAAATAAAGGCGGTCATTTTGTCACTGTAGTTGCTTGTTTCTCCCACCAATCTCTAGATCAGTGTGGGTTTTGATTATTTTTGTTGATTTTGATTATGTTTCTCCATCAAGCTCTAACCTATGTGGGTTTTATTTGTTGGTCTGGGTTGTTTTCCCCCACCAATCTCTAGATCTGGGTGGGTTTAGTGTTGTTTTTCATCTTTTGTATGCTTTTAGCCATATCTCTCGCTTCGGCAAACTTGATCTGAAAACTACTGGCTTTCTGAGATCGGTATTTACAAAGAGTTTGCTACGTCACATTCGGGAGAAAAAACTGTGGAGGGAGAATTATAATAGCCTAAAGAAGTGCTCCAATTGTGTCCACCATCGGACCTTGGATCCATATACTAAGACGCCAACGGATTTATCAATTTTAGTTTGTTGTATCAAGTTTTTCATATTGAGGTTTATGTAAACTTTATGTTTTATTGTTAATGAAATGTTGTTTCACATTAAAAAAAAATGGCTTTTTTATATGGACACCCTTTTAACTTTTTGAATTTTGAAATTTGGTCCTTATTCTTTTTTTTCTGGCAATTGAACCCTTTAACTTTTAAATCTTTACAATTAAGGTTCAATAGAAAATGACATATATTTTTTTTTAACGATTCTGATCAAGTAATGTGCATATGAGCATTTGTTGAGGCAATGAAGGTCATTTCTTGCTCTATTTGTTTGGTTATATTAATTTTAGAGTCATTTAATATATCCGAACACAATCAACTGTTATAAACAATTATTAATTTCTAAGCGTTATTACCCTCAATAGGCTCTCTAATGGTGAGAAATGATCTTTATTGTTTTTAATAGATGCTCACATGCGCGTCACGTGATCAAAATCGTTAAAAAGTAGACGTCATTTTTTATTGGACTTTAATTGCAAAAATTCTTAAGTTAAAAGAGTCAATTGCAAAGAAAAAAAATAAAGACCAGCGTCAAAGAGTTCTGGCAGTGCCCCCGAGGAGGAACCTCGTCGGAGGATTTTAGTAAGGCTTACAACCACGCCAAATAGGAGATCAACAGCCCAGTGAAGTTCACCATGAGTCCTTCTTGGCTATTTAAAATTGAGACCCTGAAATGTATAATTCCAGTCTCGACAGTGCCTATTGCTGATAGAAAGATCACCATTCCCAAAACTACGTGCCACAGTTGGAGCGTCTTTCTTCTTGGCCTTGCCATACCCGGAAGGAAATAGGTAATGAGACCCAACACAAACTGAATGAAGAAACATATATATCTATACATACATGTATGTATGTATATGTATGTATCATATAATTGCAATTCTGGTTAATTTGTATACAGAATAAGGAATTTGAAGTAAAATAGAGAATTCTAATGACTTGATTATTAATTTCTGGAGATTTCTATTGTAGGGACATGCAAACATTGAAATACCAGTAAATTTATTTTTTAAATTTGTATAAAAACTTCATGTTTTGTATATTTTATTATTATTATTATTATTTTGATGTGATTTTGACTAAATGAAACGGCTAAAAACATGCATTTTGTGTAGAGACCTTACTATCAAATGAACCTTATTTTTCAACTCTAAATTTGTTTGAATTGTAGGGAGTTTTTTTGATAGTCCTTGTAAAAATAGACTACTAATAGCCTTTTTATTTTTCAGCAGTCAAATCTATATCAAAATATGTCTATTTTGCACACTTTTTCAATTTGATGTAATTTTGACCAGATTCAACGGTTAAAAATTGAGACTACAGGTAAAGCGGACTATCGGAAAAACTCTCTTTTATTATTTTCATTTTTAATTATTTTTTTAATAAGCATTTGTGTCGGTAAATAATTAAGTACATAAATCAAGAACACTTGGACCCTGTTCATTTCACCGATTCAAGTTTTGTTATAGTAAAACGCTCTCAGAAACAGTCACATCTAACTTTTTTACTACAGTAAAAAGTTCTCATATAAAGTCACATATCAACTTGAATCAGCGAATTAAACGGACCCTTCATATGAGCGTACTTAAATCAAACCTAATTAATTAAATTTCAGTTTGAATATATTTGTTATCTTGTCAGCTATCAACATGGATTAAAATATCCACGTCAATAGTTCTATATATGTCAACAACGTTATCTACATATATTTTGAAAGCTAGACATCGATAACAGAGGTAAAGCATATTTCCTCATCAGTTAGAATATTCATGATGTTTCATAAAAAAAAATAATAAAAAAAGAATATTCATGATGTTGACAAAGAATATTCATGATGTTGACAATTACCATGAATATATCTTGGCCAATTGTATATTTGACACCTAATAGCACATAATAGTATTTTGAAATGCTAAATTTAATTTTTATTATAATTATTAAGTTTTAAAAGTTATAAAAGTAAAAATTTAATTTTGAAATAATTGGAAAACACAAAAGTTGTGGTGGATTGAATAAAAACGTAAACATATTAACCAATAGTAATCAAATATCAAATGTCAAATTTATTATATGCTATACTTAGTAGAAAATTTATTAAAAAATACAGCATATAACAATTTAACACAATAAATAACATTACATTAGAGCATCTCTAATGTGTACTTTAAACACCCACATATTGGAGGAGAGGATTAGAGAAGTATGACCGTCAGATAAACTAACCATCAATCTGGTTGCAGAAGGGAAGAACTTGAACAAGAGTTATTTCGATTCAATCGTGGAAGGGAAAATCAGGATGCTTGGACACTAGCCTTTTCATCGAGACATATTATTGACCTTTTTAGTTGAGCAATATCAGAAGAAAATGCGAAAGATCCTTATAATAATTTCTCATAACAAAAAAAATTGGCATTTATCTCATGATTTCAACATACAAAATAAAAAATAGGATAAGTACTTTTTATTTTGAGCCTGTATTGTGACCATCCAATCATGCTACTAGAAAGGTGAACATTTGTAACGTCTTCACTACCTGTAAAATATGCACAAAAAGATTTCATTGTAATTTGCAGGCAACATTACAGAGCTCATTGATGATGAATTTTGTTTTGCTTTTTATGGTCTCTTTGCCAAGAAAAGGATAGGGAAATTTGGTCACAACTAAAACAATCAACAACTCTTTTGAGTCCAAAATCGCAGTGACATCAACAAGCTACACACCAATTACAGCAATCAGTTAAGAATATTAAAAAATAAAATAAAATAAAAACCATATATAAATTACACCCATTGCTGCTTTGTGGCCTCCATTCTCTCCAATAAGCCAGTAATCTCAGCTTGCATTCTTATCTTCATCTTGTAATAGTCACAATGTGAATTCTCCAAGACCTTCAGCTCTTCAAGTTTCTTCCTTCTTCTTTCCTCAGTCTCTTGCAAGCGGAGTTTGGTGAGCTTTTCAGCATATTCTCCTTCCATCTTCTCCATCGTCGCCCTGATCACTCGATGGTATTCCTCCGCTTCTCTCCGAGCCTCATCTGCTTTGGTCTGGAACATTCTAGCTTCCGCTTCCTTGATCCGCACAATGCTTTCTAGGCTGTCAAACCCATCTGGTTTTGATAAGGACCTGAATCTGAAGTCATCTTCGGAGCTCAAGAGCGAAGCCTTGAGGTCACTGTGACGGAGGTCATTTGGCAGCATGTCTCGTTGTAAGCTAGAACTCATGTTGTAAGCAGCGTACTTAGCCGGTAAAGATGCAGGTTGCGGAACAGGGGTCGCATCTTTCCTAAGACTGGATTGATTTGTTACCAACTCTTTTGCGGATAAACCCGAAGAAGGAAAGTCTGCCAAGCCATCTGTGTCTTCAACAGAGAAAAACCTCCAGCGTCAGATGTGAAAATACTGAATAGAAGTAACTTACAGGGAAAGAGACATACAAGCACAGGAATGTATACAATAGTGAAAATGTCAAAATCATAGTTCATACAAATTATCGAAATATGAAATCACGATATATCCTGAGCCTGAAATATATCTCAAATTACTGCTCACATTCAGATTAAACAGGAAAATCCGATTCGGATTATTCCAGCCAAGATGACGAACTCATAACATAACAAAACAAAACATCAAGCAATCAAAGCCCAAAATTTATCAATCATAAGAATATGTATCATCTCTAAAATACTGTGGTTTGTCTCAGAAACTCAGTAGAACATACAATATTCTTAAAGTCACACATAAACAGGAAAAAGATGTTCCTAGAATGCAAGAGTAATAAGTTTTGGTTTAAGAGAATGCTTGATTGTTAATCAAATATTGCCCGTTATTAGAGCTGAATGCCTGGGCTAAGTCAGGCCAAACATCCAAAATACTGCCCTCAGGCCTGTGATGTTCTAAATACTGCCCTCAGCAAGATGCCTTTTTCTTTACATAGAGAACTTCCTTTGATATTCATCCTTTAATAGCTATATAGGCCTGTGATGTTCTAAATACTGCCCTCAGCAAGATGCCTGTTTCTAAGAGCTTTTTACTGTAACAAAACTCGAATTCTAAACTCGAATCGGTGAAGTGAACGGGGCGTAAGTTCTCAAATATGCGGCCACAAAGAGCTAAAAGCCTAATAAACATTACAATAACAATAATTAAAAGGAAGAAGATGATGTATCTAAGATGATATTTGACTATTTTCCTCCATCCCGTCTCCTCATAACATGATTTAACCTTAAAACATGTTGTGTAATGAACAACAATAACACACTTTTATCTGCCTTCAATCACATACTTAGTTAATCAGCTTTGATGAAGACAAATAAACATTTAGAATTGACAGGCTTTCGAACTTCTCAATACAAAATTTATTCCGCAGATTAAGCAAAATAAGAGAACAAGAAGCCCAGCCAGAGCAAAAAATGGCATATAAAGATTAAAACATAATGAAAAGGGCATAAAAGTTCGAGACTTACAGTTAAAGAACTGAGTAATGAAACTGCAGGCATCTTTAGGCGACATCAATTTACTTCCCAGTTTCGTAATGATCTCCTCGGCCTTATGGTACAACTCCTTGCCTTTGAAATCATCACTTCCCCTGAAGATCTTCCTCACACAGTCGAGCTCCTTAAGGAAGGTCTCAAGAGCCCAATCCTTTGCACAGCAGAGAAACACATCCTTAACAAAACCAAACATCTCCGAGGCATGACCGCAGCCAATGCAATGAAACTGCATCTCGCTAGTACCCGAGGGACCCTTCAAGCTAGGACCCGGCTTGATGAGATTCCTTTGAATCCCACAAGAGGCATGGCACCAATGCGAACACACGTCACACCCCACCCAACTACAAGTATTGCTTGCACAGTCAAAGTTCAAGCACACCGGACACATGCACGTGCTGCAAAACCCTTTATTCCCAGAGCAGATCTTGCAGTCGCAATCGTCAACAGGCAATAAACTCTTACAATTCACATTCCTACACCTCATAAACAAGAAAACCTCGACCAGCTCGCTGCTCGGCAGCCGGTTTTTCGCCGACAAGAAGCTCACAAGACCCAATTTCACAGCAACAAGGATCTCCAACTGGTCCTTCTGGCACTTTGACAGGGTCTCCTTTGTAAGATCAGACCGTCTTTCGAGCCGGGTCTGGAGATTCACCAGCTCATCTTTCTTCTCAGAAATGAGACTCCTCAAATACTCCTTAGCTAACATAATAGTCTCCTCCGAAAGCTCCTGAATTGTCTGAGCCATAACAGGCACAGACTCAGAAACAATCTCCCTCACAATTCTCTCAGGTCTTGACACCTTCTTTCTAGGCCTATCTAAACCCCTCAAATTCTCAGAACCTGCCTTTCCTCTAGAATCCCCAGACTGAGTAAAATTATTATTATTATTATTATTGGTACTATTATTCTCAACAATCCTAACTGGCCTAGCAGGTAATTCAGAAGGGAAAAACGAGTGATTATTAACATTATTATCAGAATCTTTCTTATTGTTATTATTACCTTGCATTAAGGAATAAAGGCCAAGAACACCAATATGACCATCTCCAATAGGCTTGAACCGACTGTGAACAGACCCATTAGTCCCTTCTCCACAGTTCCAAATTTGGTCGTCTTTCCCAACAGAATACTCATAATTCTCGGTCGAATTCCGGGTCAGAGAGCAACTGGGGTTGTGCGAAAAAGGGTGAGAGTGAGAGTAAGACAGAGAAGCCGCAGCCGTGTAATCGTTCGAATTATACGTCAGCGATTGTACGCTCCGAGTGGGCTTGTGAAGAGCATTCGAAGCCGTTAGAGAGAGAGAAACGTCGGGCAGAGCTAGAGAGAGATTGAGAGTCTCAAGCTTCTGCCTTTTATCTTTACTTTCTCTCTCCATCTCTTCTTCTTCTTCGTCATCGATTTCTCGTTTCGAAGAGGAGTTGTTGAGATTGAGGAAATCCCTCTCGACCCATTTATCATCATTATCGCCGTCGCCTTCGAGAACTTCCTTTCCTTTGTGGGACCTTTCTAAGAGGGGGTTTTTCCCGGAAAAGTCTTGCTCGAGAAAAGCCTGCTTCGAGTTCTCGCAAAGGTAGCTCAGAGTCAGCTCCTGAGATCCCGAATTCCTCGCTTTCGACGGCTTTCCCAGCTCCGATTCTCTCAGAAAATCGATGCCCTTGTCGGGAAAATCCATTTTCTTATCTGGGTTTTCCTTCTTACGCTCCGACAGACACCGCGTCACCTTGCTCTGCGAGCTCTCGTCCATGGCTTGGCTAGAGAGAGAAAGAAGAGAATGGAAGGGTAATTTGGTAAATTAAAAAGAAGTGGTTTTCGATTCTTCAAAAGACGCACTATCGCTAATAATGGTCAGCTCTGCAACGGCTGGTTTTTTTTTTTTCCCTTCAAAGCGTTTACACGGAAAAAGGAAAGAAGATGCCTTTTTCTTTGCTATGGTAAACTACGGATTTGCCCCTGGGAGTTCTATGAAATATCAGGAATTCTACTTTGACCGTCTCTTATATCCCTGGCGGCCTGGAGGGAAGAAGAGGACGACTTTTTCTTTTTTTTTTTTTTGGGTGTGGGGAGAAAATTATTCTGTTAATTATATTAGTAGGCCTAATTTTTTTTGAAAATAATTAGTAGGCCTAATTAATGTGTTCCTTCCTTCAAAAGGTTCTTGAAATAAATATTTTGGATTTTTTTCTAGTCAAAGTTAGCTGCCTTATTATTATGCTGTTAAAACGCCCATTGGTTTTCTAAGTTTTGTCCCATTTATTTATTTTTATAATAATCATCTCATTTATTTTGTGAAAAATAAAAGAAATTAGAGTGTCCGAAAAAATGGAAAAAGAAAAAAGTAGAAAGAAGGTGTTCGCTGTTGGTCGACAATAGACCTTAAAAATTGTAAATATTCGCTAATTTCATTTTGCTTTCATTGAAAAATAGACTGTAGCTTCATCCAACTACGTATGATAAATATTATGGACTTTCTATCGTGTTTTTATTTAGAATATCAATATTTTTTATTTATATTATATTTTTAATTTTATTTTATTTTTAATTAGATTTAATATAGATGTAACGAATGATAAAGAAAAAACACCTATATTCTTAAAAAAAAAAAAATAGAAGATCAAAAATATTCTTTAAATATTATTCATTAATTTTATTTGATTTCATTACCGGGCAAAATATAAAAAATGAGAAAATTATGGAAAGCTGACTCTGCTCATTAGTACGATTGTTTTTTTTTTTTTTTTTTGCTGAATTATTAATATGATTCTTTTATTACATGGAATTAATCTCAATCAAAATCTCTGTAGTCAAACATCATTAATGAAGGATGCCAATTAATTTAGATTTATTCGCATACAATTAAGGGGCTAATATTAAAAATTCCACCGAACATGCCAATTATAATATAATGTCAATTTCATCGCATTGAAGCCAAACATACCGTGTTTCTGGTTGACCGAGTCAAAACATTGCCTAGAAAAATTGCTTTCTTTTTTCTTTTTAATTTTCTGTTCAAGATCAAAAGTTTGTCATACTTAATTGCTAATCAGAAAGCTTAATACAGTTGTTTAAAGAAGTCAGTAGGAATCACAATATGAGTCAAAAAGAATGTGGTTTTGGTTCTCTTTGGGTTTCAAATTGGCAAAGCAACTTTGCTTAAAAAGATTCAAGGAATTTCACCTCTTTTTTTTTGGTTGCTCTGAATTAAGGTGGTTAGGAAAAAGCATAATTAAAAGATATTATTCCGAGATCTCTTTTTATTCCATTGTCTTCAGCACAATTTCTACTTCAATTCATGTCCCAGCTATTGAATTTTTCTGTTACATATATTATTTGCATTTCTTTTTTTTTTTTTTTCCATAGAAACTAGAGAGCAGCTTGAACAAAGATACTGATGAATCGTGGACATACCACCAGAAAAATAGAGGCAGCTAACATGTAGACTACAAAATTACAAAAAACGGGATATGTAATAAATAAAACCACAAAAAGTTAAAGAAATTTCTATGTACTATTAAATCAATAATGGTCAAATATGAGGTTGGGTCTCGACACAAGAAGAATATAAATGTTAGTATAGCTGTATAATACGTCCTAAATTTTCCAATTGACAAGAAAAAGAAACTATCTTATCATAATTAAAATTATAATTTTAAATAATTAGATCATACAAACAGATTATAATACAGATTTGACGGCTAAAAAGTAAATGAATATTATTGACGTAGAAATTCATCAACAGAAATACAACTAGTTACCGTGTGGTAATAAGTTGGATTATCGGTTGAATCACGTGAGAATAACAGCTTTGCATCCGATTAATAGAGTGGAACAGTTTTTGTGCGTGCTTGCTTTATGGACTTTGTGTTTGAGTTTTTCAAAAGGAAAAAGAAATCAAAAACGACGAGAACACTAAGATTTATAGTTATTCACTCTTAATACAAGTGTTACGTCCACTTTGAGGAATCTCCCTCTCTTTTTCTTCTTTTTTTTTCTTTTTTCTCCTTTTTTATTACAAGAAGCTCTATTCTATTATGTGCGTACAAGTATTTTTCCCCGTCCTCTTTTTTTTTTTTTGTGCCATGCCCCTATTATATCACATTGATTACACATGGGAGAAAACCGAGGTAAGTGATTACTTTGTGATTGCTCTCGAATAGCCTATTGTCCTACACATCTAGACTGCGGCTCCTACGGTGCCTTTCTGATTGTTTATCTACCCACTCTGCCCAAAACTTCGGCTCTGTGGCTTCTCCTTGATTTCCTATTGGTCTATTTTGGTGGCTAACATGTTGGTAATCATTTCTCTAGCCATTGGCTTTGTTTATACCCACACGTAACCTAGGGATTCCTCTCTTATCGCTTCAGGAGGTCTTCTCAGAATCTACCTCAGATAACCAATCACGTTGCCCTCTTCGCTTTCACTTTGTGTGGATAGCAAGTCCAAACAGTACCTCTGTCCCTGTCGATCCTTGTATAGGATCGACGGGCTATAGGGGTTCTAGGAGCCGTCTCAGCCAATGGCTTGTACAGGCAACGCTATGTTCTCTTTGTGCCTCCTCAGAATCACCGACGACGCTGTTGGTTCCTTCAGGGTAGGGTCTGCCGTCTTTGCCATTTGAATGGTCGATTGCCATCGTGGACGCTTTAAAACAGCTGAACTTCAATCGTCTGGAAAGTTGATGCTTTGACCGTCATCGCCTCCAGGAGCAGGATCACTATTGACCCTTAAATGCTTTTACGCAATTTTCACGTGGAGTCTATATGTCGTCTAACGCGGTAAGGTAGATTTTTCCTTATAACATTATTAATAGTCTATTTTTACAGGGACTACTAGAGAAAATCTCTAAAATAAGATAAGAATATAAAAAAAAAAAAAAACAATTTAACCAAACTTGATAAAATTCTTATGTTTAAAATAATGTCTTATTTGTAGTACATCATTTTGTATCCTCCCGTAGAATTCTTTTTTTTTTTTTTTTAACTCCTTAACCCATAACCATCAAAGTAATGATTTGAACCGGAAAAAAAAAAAAAAAAAGGCTTGAGCATTTGGAGACTTTTTCTTCATCCACGTACAAAAGGGATTGACAAATATTGTTGAGATTCCAGTCCCACCAAACCAATGAAGTCTCTTTTTTTTTTATAAAGTACATCAAAACTCTATTCCCTACTTGTAAATGCTTAGAATCCAGGAAAAAAGGCCATGAAGATTTCATTCGACGCAAAGGCATTAAACGCCTTTTGAGACTTTCAATTCAATTTAATTCTTAAAAGTAATTGAAATTCTGTGGTAGGGTATCAGAAATAATTTATCAGTCAGATATAATTTTTGACCGACAAATTTAATTACCTATAATTTTTAGGAAAGTTCTCTTATAAGACCTAAAAAAAATAAGTTACAATAATTCTTTATTTTTTAGTTTTCTATTAGTATCAAAAACTGTATGTTTTATATCTTTTAATTAAAATTAATAATTAAAAATTGATATTACAGATAAAGAGATATACTAGAGAAAGTCTCTAATTTTTAACCTTATACCAAATATAAAGTACATCAGATTAAATAAAACATGATAATTTAAGGAAATCTAATAAACATCGATTGAAATTATATACTAAATTTGGATTTTTTTTTTGTACCTATCAAAATTGCAGCCCATTTATAAACGTTAGGTATGTTCATTTCACCAATTCGAGTTTAAAATTTGAATTTTGTTATAGTAAAAATCTCTCAGAAACTGTCACATTTAATTTTTTTACTATAATAAAAAACTTTCACATAAAGTCACATCATAACTCGAATCAACGAATTAAACGGGTTCTATATTTACTGCGTCTCCTTCACTGTGTCCAACGGTTAACCCCCTCCTAGGTGACTTATTTCTTTTACTAGAATTTTTGCTCGATGACTTGGTCTTTCTGTTGCTTTTTTCTTTTTTTTTTTTGGTGGAGAGGAGTTGGTCAGTCGGTTTGGTCATGTATAATATTCAAACTAATCCAGATTAATTTTCTTCTTACAATAACGACGTGATTGTGACATTTGTTAAGATAATAATAAGTTTTTAGGGATTTTTTCTTGTAGGACTTAAAAAAAATAAGCTACCTATATTTTTTTATTTTTCAACTGTCAATCTGTATTAAGAAACTGTTACTACTGCATATTTTTTAATTTAATATAATTTTAATTAAATCAAACCATTAAAAATTAACCCTATTAATATGCCGGCCTACCGGAAAAAATTTCAAGGTTTTTAAGGTCAAGAAGTGGACAATAAGCAAGATACTGGAATCAACATGTTGTCTTTGGCGTTTCGATCCAACTTTAGACTCAAAGTCACAAATTTATGATATAGTTGGAAGAGAATTTATATAGTAGGATTATCCATTTTCATTATTAGAAGGACCCTCTCTTTTAGTGGTGGCACATAACTTCCATCGAGCAGAAGGATGGAGGCCGTTGGTTTGGCGCATTGTACACGGCATGTCTAACGTCTAGTGGTTGAGATCATCAGCTTTGGATTTTTTCGTTTTGTTTTTTCTATATATTGACTTTGTCATGTTTTGTAAATACGGTGTATAAACCATATTCTTGATTAGCAAGCCAAAAAAAAAAAAAAAAACAAAACATATATTCTTTTCTTTTCCTCTTCCAAGAGGTTGTAACAGGGTGCGGACATAGGTCTTAATGGTCTTTGTTTTTCTTTTTCTTTTTTTTTTTTTTTTTGAATTCTTTAATAGAATGGCTTAACAAGTCTTTCATAATGAAGAAAATAAAGACACAAATTTCCAACAAAAAAGAAATCCTAAGACAGATTAGCATCAAATTTGTCTTGGATAGCCATGTGCTTTTACCCTACTTCTTTTATATAGGTAGAGAGGTGCTAAGATTAAATTATAGAATTTTAGTTTTTTTTTTTAATAAAAACCCATATCTCAAAAACTTGCATTTAAACAAAATCAGAGTAACAAACACAATAGAAGGCTAATGACAAAGCTGGAGAATGGATGTACACATGAGGCCTAAAAACGGGAGAATACCTTGGCA